CAATAATTTTTAAGATAGTCAATGTATGCATCTCATATGAGCTCAGAATGGTGCTTCTAGTCTTGTTTTGTCATATTATTGCTAATTAGATGTACAAAAAGATTGGAATAAAAAAAAAATTCAAATTTTCATTTTCGATTCTGAATGGCCAGGGGTAACCATATTGTACCTTAATAATTTTCAAAATATGTAATATATCCATCTCAAATGAGCTCAAAATGGTGCATCTAGTCTTGCTTTGTCATAATATTGCTAATTAGAAGAAAAAAAAGATTGGAATTTTTTTTTAATCTAATTTTCATTTTCGCTTCTGAAGGGCCAGGGGTAACCATATTGTACCTTAATTATTTTTAAAAGACGTAATATATCTATCTCAAATGAGCTCAATATGGTGCATCTAGTCTTTTTTAATCATATTAACCCTAATAAGATGTAGAAAAATGATTGATAATTCTTAAAACTCTAAATTTTCATTTAAGCATCAGATGGTCCAGGGGTAACCATATTTTAGCATAATAATTTTCAAGATATGTAATATATGCATCTCAAATGAGCTCAAAATGGTGCAAAAAGTCTTGTTTTATCATACCCCAAATAAGATGTAGAAAAATTATTGGACATTTCTTAAAAATCTGAATTTTCTATTTGACCATATTTTCACATAATAATTACATATTATTACTTATTCCATAGTTAGCATGATATTCATAGGATAACATGTGAAAATAAAAACGGTATTTTTGTAATCAGTGGTAAAATATGATATTTTGACAAATTTTCACTTAACCATAGCATACGGTTTTTTAGCCATGACATACGACGTCGTATGCGATGGTTTATGGATTTTTGCTACTTCGGACTCAAAACGAGGCAAAGTGTCAACATCGCCCCGGATCGTTTGGAAAATTCGAATTAAATGACTTAATTTCCGACGATTCTGATGATGACTTTAACTATGGAATAAAAAGAACATCCTATGATTTACTCGTGATATGATTTTAATCCACTCATGGTTATTGATATCTGCACTCTCTCGCTACGCTCGCTCGTGCAGATATCATATCCATTCGTGGATAAAAATCATATCACTCATAAATCATAGGATATCCTCTATATATGCATCTAAAATGAGCTCAAAGTGTACCAGAAGTCTTGTTATCATATTTCCCCTAATAATTATAGGATATCCTATGATTTTGAGGAATATCATTTTTATCTACGAGGTGATATTGATATCTGCACGAGAGACCGAAGCGAACGAGTGCATATATCAATATCACCGAGTAGATTAAAATGATATTCTGAAAAAAATCATAGGATGTTCTTATTATCCTACACTTACAAGGAGTGTACTGAATGTATAATATCATTGTAAAATTAATTCCATGCCAAATAGAGTCAATTTGGCGGGAAATTAACAAGCGGAGTATATCGTCACAATATCCTCCGCATATTGGGTTTTCCGGAGTATATCGTCACGATATCCTCCGCCCGGAGTATATCGTTACGATATCCTCCGGATATTCATTTTGCCAATAAATATCAAATTTATTTTTTCATGTTATTATACATTTAGTACACTAAGTGTAGGATAATATATAAAAACATAATTTGACATTTCTAAATATCTAATATCTAAAAATCTAAATTTTATATTTGAGCTTTTGACAGCCCAGGGGTAACCAATGGTTACTAACCATACTTAAGATAATAATCTTCAATGTATGTTACATATATGCATCTCAAATGAGCTTGAAATGGTGTATATAATCTTGTTTTGTCATATCATTTCTAAGGAGATGGAAAAAATGATCAGATTTTGATTTAGCTTTTGACTGGTTATAGGTGGCCTCATTTTACCATAATAATTTTCAAGATATGTCACATTTGCAACTTAAATAAGCTCAAAATTGCATCTTGTCATATTCATATGTTCATATATTCATACTGAGATATAAAATGATAAATCAATGAAGTATTATATAAAGATATTAGGTTTAAGAACACTTGCATCACCTTTGGGTACACCTTCCATTCCTCCAAATCAGATGATTTAGAATAGTAGTTAAATGCAGATGTGACATCGCATAGAATGATTGAATGAAAAATGGGGAGGACTAAACTTTGGTCATGGCCAATTGATCTTGCAATATCATGCACAGATAGTTATTGAATGGATTTTCTTTTACCAAATGCAATCCAAGATGTAGTGGGAACAAGAGGGAGCTGTCCTCCTTCCAGGCATCAACACTGAAACCCTCAAGAACATGGCAAGATGATAGTGACCAAGTAATGCAATGTCTTAGGCGCCATCAAGGATATTTCTCCATACGAGAGACTGCTTCAATCATTGCCTAACAATTGATTTTGATGTAGTAAAACTGAAAATGTCAATTTGGATTGCATATGGTAAGGGGAAATCCTTCCAATATCTACCTGCCCACAATATTACAAGACCACTTGGCCATGACCAAAGTTTAGCCCTCCCAATTTTTCATGCAATCAATGGATTTGATATGTCACCTTTGCATTCTACTACTTCTCTAAATCATCTGATTTGAAGGAATGGAAGGTGTATTCCAAGAGCTATTCAGTTGTTTTTAAACTTTGAATCTTTTTTAGAAACATTGCAGTTGTAGAGTCATTTGTTATTCTGATGCATTCTAACCCACAGTTTCTATCACCACATGAATGTGGTTGGACTACTCCCACTGCTGATACTGAGGCCACAACATATGAAAATGTAGGTCCTATGAGGCGGATATCTGTATAATAACAAAAGATGTTGCATCCGAGGCATGCAAAAAACTTGTTTGATGTTTAAGGAGTGTTGAGGGAACATATGCAAATGTTTGAAATCATATCTCATTTGCTCTGGGCTATGTAGCCGTAGGGGGGACTGTCAGAATCTATAAATCCTGACCTGTTTGATTATGTTTTATGGATTTGGATTATATTTTCAAATAGAATCTTAACAATAATACTACTCAGTACAAACTGGACTGTCAAACATTTTCAAATCTTAGAAAAGTGCTCGATAAAACTATAGTACAGTATTGAGCTAGTGGTACTAAAAAGGAATAAATGGATGTTGCGATTCTTTATATAAATAAATAAATGGATGTGGATGTGAATTTTTTCTTATTTCAGAAGGAATAAATGGCAAAACTTGACTATAATCAACATTTTGAGCTCGTTTGAGTAACAAGTGTGATATATCTTTATTTAAATTATAACGGTAAAATGGCATCAAAAGCTAAGGCCGTAAGAATTAGATTCTTTGTTTTGCTTCCCCTTGCTTGCATGATTTTGACCAAATCAGAAAAAAAACAAACACATCCAAATAGCAACCACAAGGGTCTGAAAGTAACATCGCATTTCATTCAATCAGAATCAGACGAAATGGAGGATAAATTGATGTGCGTCAAAATTGACAGTGTTATTGATTACTTAGGCATACATTTTTTTATTTTAACCCTTGAATAATACCTATATTTAAATATATTGTATAAACGTATAGATCTGTGTTTGTATCACTGCAAATTGGTATGTCATTCCTTTTAATGCCCATAAAATGTATACATTTCACAGCAAACAAGTCTGTGCTTTTTTGAGTTTGTGTTTGTTTCCTTGTACCCTTGCATGATTTGGATTTTGCCAGGACGCAAACCAGAGAATCTAATTCTTATGGCCTAATATGAAAATATCATTTTTTCAAGTTTCCAAACATTTTTTACATTCCCTAGAAATAATATATGACAAAAGAAGATTAAAAAACCCTTTAAAGCTCATTTGAGATGCATATGTCTTGTACTTTGAAAATTATTAAGGTAAAATATGGCTACCCATAGGCCACAATAAGCTAAAATGAAAATTTAGATTTTTAAGAAATGTAAAATCATTTTTCTTCATCTAATCAAGGGTAATCTGATAAAACAAAGCTATATGCACCATTTTGAGCTAATTTGAGATGCATATATTACATATCTTGAAAATCATTAAGGTAAAATATGGTTACCCCTGGCCTTTTAGAAGCGAAAATGAAAATTTGGATTTTTGAAAATTTTCCAATAATTTTTTTACATCTTATTAGGAATAATATGACAAAACAATACTCTATGCATCATTTTGACCTCATATGAGATGCATACATTGCATATTTTAAAAATTATTAAGGTAAAATAAGGTTACCCCTGAGCTGCATGCACTTAAAAATTGAAATTTTGAGAATTTTTTTCTCAAAAAATACATGAGCCACCCGTGGTATATTTTCTATCTGTGATGAACACTTAAACCTCTACTACTATGAATTTTTTCAGGACTGTCAGACATCACATTCTTGAAATACAGTACTGGATGTTCCGTATTTGATCCTTTAAACAACGAATTATTCTTAGATAATTGGGTTAAAATGAGTTTTTCTTGCTACAGATCTAGACAACTTCTTAATTGGGTTTTACACAATTTCAAGGCTCAAAGCAATCACCAAATGAAGTCATTTAAAGAAAAATACTTTAAAACCATTTTTATTTAATTTTAATAATATACCCCTCCCAGTCTGGTAGGGGTGGGGGGTCAGAGGCTAAAAAATCCATGAAGACCACCCCAAATCACTTGCCCTGAAATCATTTTTTACTCATATCATATGATTCTACAACTGTGCCAAGTTTGTTGCTTTCCTGAAAAAGCCGAACAAAAAAAGGACATCTGACCCCGCTATTATCATTATTTGCGTTTGATCACATTAAAAACACATGACATGCATAATTTAATATCTTCAACTTAAACAGCAAAGAATCTGATATAATCACCATCGTGTGCTCTAGAAATACGACGGTACTATTCTTTTTGGTTTTTAGACGTCGTGGCTCGCCTTTATAACTGCGTACTTTCATTGAAAATTGATGCGATCTCTACGTATAGGGTGTAACCGATAAGCGTCTTTTAGGCCTACTCACAACACACAAATCATGTGGAAGTTAAACGTAGCGGTTGCGTCAATAATGTTTGTATTATTGGTATATGGTTTCATCATTAATTCCAAAGGCTATCAGCATATAAGAGAGACCAATAACAGGTTTAAGTTCTCCAAACAAAAGGATAAGTTAAGCCATATTGTGAACGAAGATGGGGAACAAATGCCGGAACAAATGATAACGCCCTTAAAGGAATCAACCATGCCGTTATTAGCATCGGGTGGTGCACGGAAAAGTCGCAAGCAGTCACTGTTATTTAGTCATTTCCCAAAAGCAGGTGGGTCGGAAATAAGGCATATATTAACTACAGTAGTTGGAGAGAGTATAAATGTTGACCAAAACAGGGGAATGTACAAAAATAACAGTCTTTTTTCAACTTGCTTCAAATTGACTAAATTTTTTTTTCAAAATCATCTACATGTTCTCAGAAATTCAAATCTGACTTTAGATTTGACATTTGACCTTCAATGACCTTCTCAAGGTCAAAAAAGGTCAAAAAGGTCTGTTTTCAACTTGCTTCAAATTGACTAAAAAAAAATTTCAAAATCATCTACGTGTTCTCAGAAATTCAAATCTGACTTTAGATTTGACTTAAGATTTGACATTTGACCTTCAATGACCTTCTCAAAGTCAAAAAAGGTCAAAAAGGTCTTTTTTCAACTTGCTTCAAATTGACTAATTTTTTTTTCAAAATCATCTACATGTTCTCAGAAATTCAAATCTGACTTTAGATTTGACATTTGACCTTCAATGACCTTCTCAATGTCAAAAAAGGTCAAAAAGGTCTTTTTTCATCTTGCTTCAAATTGACTAATTTTTTTTTTCAAAATCATCTACATGTTCTCAGAAATTCAAATATGACTTTAGATTTGACATTTGACCTTTAATGACCTTCTCAAGGTAAAAAAAGATCAAAAAGGTCTGTTTTCAACTTGCTTCAAATTGACCAATTTTTTTTTTCAAAATCATCTACATCTTTTCAGAAGTTCAAATTTGACTTTTACAAGTTCTCAGAAGTTCAAATCTCACTTTAGATTTGACCTTTGACCTTCAATGACCTTCTCAAGGTCAAAAAGGTCTTTTTTCAACTTGCTTCAAATTGACTAATTTTTTTTTCAAAATCATCTACATGTTCTCAGAAGTTCAAATCTGACTTTAGATTTGACATTTGACTCTCAATGACCTTTTTAAGGTCAAAAAGGTCTTTTTTCAACTTGCTTCAAATTTACTTAATTTTTTTTTCAAAATCATCCACATGTTCTCAGAAGTTCAAATCTGACTTGACATTTGACCTTCAATGACCTTCTCAATGTAAAAAAAGTCAAAGAGGTATTTTTTCAACTTGCTTCAAATTGACGAATTTTTTTCAAAATCATCTACATGTTCTAAGAAGTTCAAATCAAACCTTCTTAATGTCAAAAGGTATTTTCCAACTTGCTTTAAATTGACCAAATTGTTTTAGGTGGTGACATTTTGTCATGCTAATGCCTTGTTTCATCTTGCTTCAAATTGACCAATTTTTTAAAAATCATCTACAAGTTATCAGAAGTTCAAATCTGACTTTAGATTTGAGATTAGACCTTCAATGACCATCTCAAGGTCAAAAAGGTCTTTTTCAACTTAATTCAAATTGATCAATTTTCTCAGAAAGTTCTCAGAAGTTCAAATCTTTCTTTAGACTTGAGATTTCACCTTCAATGACATTCTCAGGGTCAAAAAGGTTTTTTCTCTTTGCTTCAAATTGACCAATTTATTTTTTCAAAATCATCTACAAGTTCTCAGAAATTCAAATCTGACTTAAGATTGAACTAATGTGAGCAACTAGGTGGTGACATTTTGTCATGTTAATGCCTTGTTATAAAATGGCATCGCATTTTAAATGCTTTTTGACAGCATGACAATACTGGGGGTTCCGCGTGACTCTGAGTCTTCTGTATATACTATTTTCCCATCTTTTTTTCAATAATAAATTACTCGAATTAAAGAATCTAGGTGTAACAATTACCTAGTAGAGCCAAGGTAAGGTAGATCAAGAGCGGTAATATATGAATATAATATATCTAGGGACCGATCCCTAAGGCCGGGGACCGGGATGGACACAGGTTGCATTTATCCCAGTTCCCGGTTTTTTTTAAGACTGAGGAAATGCCTAGTCTACATTGAGTATGTTTTTGAATTTTGAAACTTAATAAGGTAGACTTTACCTAGAACCTCAGTAGATATGGAATACATCTGCTATGTACGGTGGGTTTTGGAAATTTGGATACAGGGTTTATGCACCGGCCTCGGGAAATATGCACACGGGGAGTTATGTTATGGGAGGTTTAAGATATGGGGTATATCCCGAGGGAAATATTGATATCTTACCGAGGGTCCGGAGGGCTCGAGGTGAGATATCATATTTCCCGAGGGAAAAACTAATTTATCCTATGACAAGTGACTTTTATCTATGAGACATTGATTATTATACTGTACCTGAAACCTCACTTGTCATAGGATAAAAACCTGCATCCAACCTCCCTGTACATAACCATTACTGGGATATAAAGCTGAATTGATCATTCAGTGAAATTAAAGCTTCTCTGTAAATGAAGATTCATCTTTGAGCCTTTAGAAAATAATATTTAATATAGCCTATGATGGGCATTTATTGGTGTAACGTAGCCTGGTGGCCATTTATTGGTTGAACAAATTACATGAAACAACAATTGATTTTATGTTTATAATTTATTGTAAGAAGAAATGTGCTAACACTGCAATCGATCGATTTTTTGTAATTGGGCAACTTGACTTGACTCGAATCATGCAATTTCGACCTGTCTCATTCCTACTGGACAGTCAAGTATTTTTGGCTACCCAAGTATTCTAACTTCAATTTGTCATTCAATTCCATATTTTCTTCGAGAGATGACTGCTGAAAGTTAACAAAAACAATTAAACTGTTATATGTATACCGTATATGGCTGCCTTATGCAAAAAAAAGTCCTTCCATTTATTCTTACAGGGCACCAGAATTCTGTGTAATACAATAACGTGCCACATCAGAAGTTCACTGTCCGGATATATGCCCTTTTGGTCCCTCAGTCAAATATATGTGAAATATGTTTTTATGACTGTCTTAGCTATATTTGATAAGTATATTTACTTTTTCACGAGTTTTGATGCATAATTAACCCCCTGCTGAGAGTCAGAATAAGTATCTTAACAGACAAAAAAATAGTCATTATCATAGAAAAACACCAATGGCAACATGTATGACTTACAAAGAAGAAATAACTAAAGATCCATGAAGAATTAAAAAGAAAATCATATTTTTGAAATATATTTAAGGATTAAAAGTTTTTCAAATTTTTGAATTTCCCGCCAGTTTAATTTGAAGGGGGAAAAACAAGATGGCTGCCATCTGATGTAAGAAATATCAGAAAAAAAGTTGCTTCACTTTTAGTTTTCACAATGAGCACAGTTTTCCGGTTTAGGTTTTTAACTGATTCTGACTCTTCATCACCAGGGTCATGTATAGAGATTATAAAATTGAATTTGACTGAAACATGTGCAACTTCACCAACACAATTGAACTGGATGCTCAGTAACTCTGAGTTACTATAATCCCTTGATTACCCAGATAAACACCAATTCACTTATCCAGAAATACTGTAACAAACTAGCCAATTTGTGGTGAGGGCTAGGTTACTTTGGGATTTCTTGGTACGCGTTAAATGTAGTTGTGTTTTACAGCAATTACAACACGACAAACAATATAAGTTTATTTCATATATATTATATCCTTAATTATTTACAAATAAATTTGAAATGTCCAAATAAACTTATACAATTGTTGAAAACTATAATCAAGCCTTGTTATTGTTGTTGTTGTCAATCCAAAGTTGTATACACCCACATTACTGTTCTTCAATAAATTTTGCAGTTCCGATATTTCCTCAAATAAGCTATTACATTCATCCAGGTTGTCACACCTCAGCGGCTTATAACCACTTCAGCAAGCTAAATGAATTCAATAGTCAATGGTCAATCAACTATGTTCCCCAGATAGCAGAAAACGTCTAAGTTTTGTAGTTCCTAAAAGTAACTAAGTCTTGTAGTTAGCAAAATGACTAAGTTTTGCGGTTCCGATATTTCCTCAAATAAGCCAATGAATTCATCCAGGTTGTCACACCAATGGCTTATAATCATCTATGGTTACATCATCAGGCTAAATGTAGTCAATGATCAATCAATCATCCCATGCAGCAAATCGACTAAGTTCTTCAGATAGCAGAAAACGTCCGAGTTTTATAGTTCCTCAAAACAACAAAGTCTTGTAGTTAGCAAAATGACTAAGTATTGCAGTTACGTTATTTCTCCCAATAAGCCAATAAATTCATCCAGGTTGTCACATCAATGGCTTATAAACATCAATGGTTACTTCATCAGGCTAAATGAAGTCAATAGTCAATGGTCAGTCAACTATGTTCCCCAGATAGCAGATAGCAGAAATCTGCATTACCTATGTGATCATGACAAAAATAAAAATGGAATGCAAAAATGAAAAATTTAAAAATGAAAAATTCGGTACAATACCATTCAATGTCTATACAAAGAAAGTAAGCAATGTCTTGGAGGATATGTTTCAAACTTTTTATATAAATAATTCATTTGATATTTGCCATAGATTTTTTTTCAATTCTGACAAAGTGATACATGCCCGTAGCCAACTTTTTGTAAAAAAAAAATAAATAAAAATTCCCTATGCTAAACCACGGGCTAGTTGAAAGCCCATGGCTAAACCAAGCCCCTTTGTTTTGTAAAGGACAGTGGCGGATTCGGAGGCTAACAGGGGGGGGCACACTTCAAGTCAGGAAAAACTATCCGGAAAAACTGTCAGGAAAAACTTTTTAGGGCCCTAAAATCAAAATTTCGACCAAAAACTAGAAAATCTATGGCACGTTTTTTGAAAATTTGGCCTAATATTGAAAAAATAAGGCCCAAAAAGGTCAAGTAGTGCCCAAAAAGGCCCACTAAAGAGGCCCTACAATATATTTGGGGCAACATTTGGGCCAAAATCCTGAAAATTTATGGCCCGTTTTTGAAAATTTGGCCTTAAATTGAAAAAGATAAAGCCCAAAAAGGTCAATTAATGCCCAAAGAGGCCCACTAAAGAGGCCCTACAATATTTTTGGGCCAACATTTTTTCTTGGCCCATCCTATGGCTTCGCGGAAAACCTTTAAGGGCTCTAGAAGCAAAATTTGGGCCTAAGTTTTGAAGATTTTCGGTTCGTTTTTTGAAAATTTAGCCTAAATTTGAAAAAATAAGGCCAAAAAATGTCAAGTAAAAAGGTCGAATAAGGGCCAACTAAAGCGGCCCTACAATATTTTTGGCCCAACATTTTTTCTGGGCCCATCCTAGGGCCGCGCGTAAAAATTTTTAGGGCCCTAAAACCAAACTTCGGGCCAAAATTTTGAAAATTTATAGCCCGTTTTTGAAAATTGAAAAATTGAAAATTGAAAAAATAAGGCTCAAATAGGTCAAGTAATGCCCAAAAAGGCCCACTAAAGAGGCCATACAATATTTTAAGGCCAACATTTTTTCCGGGCCCATCCTTGGGGGGTCGGCCCCATGCCCCAAAACACAAAGGACGATCCTAAAAAAACACGAAAAAATTGGGCCAAATTTTTATAAATAATGCCCAAATTCGACAAACAATGTACAGTAATGCCAGTTTTTTAATCTTAATTGCCCAGTGAATGTGGGGAAGAGCAAGTTTTTTTTCAAGGAAACAAAAAGGTAGGTCGGATATCAGAGGGGGGGTCGGACGAGCCCCCCCCCCCCTGGCTACGGGCCTGTGATATGCACTGTCTTTGATGCCAATATTCTTCATTAATTGTGATACAAATTGATGTTTTTGTAATCTCAGAACAAGAATAAGATATAGAAGTTTAATAATATGTGTGATTGAGTTGGTCAGACATTACAATTTTCAATATTTTCTAAGTCGATACCCAGACTCATTCCCAGACTCATCCTTTTGAATTTTTAAATTAAACGAAACGATAAAAAGTTGTAAATCTATGGTCTGATCTTGAAAATAACACAAAGAAGAACTGAACATTACAATAAAAAGTTACTTGAGGATCTCTGTATTATATGATACCGTAGTGAAATAGTTTGTAGATTTAATTCAGTCTCTTGCAGGCCCGTAGCAAGGGGGAGTTCGCAGGGTTCGGGCGACCCCCCCCCCCCTGGCCAAAAATTCTTTCAAAATCATGCAATTTTTCACCATTTTGAGCACTTCTCAAGTGATTTTAGCCATATTTGGGCCAAAATTGTCAAATGTGAACTCTCCCCCGGAAATTTTTGAAAACTAACCCCCCCCCTTGGAAAATCCTGGCTACGGGCCTGCTTGTTTCGTGTCTCATTATCGGCTAAGGCCACCGGGGTATTACATGACATGTGCATTGTGCACCAAGTACAATTAACATCTTGCCAAGTATAAAGTACACACATTGCCCAGCATGTGCACTGGTGATCCACTCGATCACGCTGGTAACCGAAACGACACGGTGATTTTCTACAAATGCACGAGCCGATGAGCAACGGGGAGATACTTTGCTCCGATTTTCACTACTGCGCCCGTCCGATTGAGTATTTTGTTCAAAACCGAATACAATATTGAACAAAACACTCAATCGGCGCCGGTCGATCTGAGAAATGTGACCCAGGCATAACCCCGGGGCATAACCGATAAGCGTTTTAGCGGGTAGGCCTGCTCACAACCACGGTTCACAACACACAAATCATGTGGAAGTTAAATGTAGCGGTTGCGTCGATAATGCTTGTATTATTGGCATATGGTTTCATCATTAATTTCAAAGACTATCAGCGTATAAGAGAGACCAATGTCAGGTTTAAGTTCAACAAACAAAAGGATAACTTAAGCCAGATTGTGAACGAAGATGGGGAACAAATGATAACGCCCTTAAAAGGAATTAGCCATGCCGTTACTAGCATCGGGTGGTGCACGGAAAAGTCGCAAGCAGTCACTGTTATTCAGTCATTTCCCAAAAGCAGGTGGGTCGGAAATAAAGCATATATTGTCTACAGTAGTTGGAGAGAGTATAAATATTGACCAAAACAGGGGAATGTACAAAAATAACAGTACAATTCTTGAGGATAACTACTTTCTTCAAACAGAATTTGTACCACTGGAGCCATATCAAAAATCAAATTTTTTCGTCATTGGGCATGTACGTTCACCGTGTAATTATCTACTGTCATTATGGGCATTCGGCTCGGACGGAAAAGGCGCTTTTTACCATTTGACAAAGGATAAAAGTGTGTATGGGAATACGCCTCCGTATAATAACAAAGATGACCTAAAGAGATTCACCATGTGGCTACAAGACTATAAAGAGACATATACATATAGACTTGTTCACAAGTATTTCAAAAATAGCATATGGAAAACAGACCCAACTTTGAGCAATGCGGACTGCTGGGTTCACTCCGAAATGTTAATTTACGACTTGGTGAATTGCTTAAAACGATATGAAAAACAGGGGGGAAAAGTAAAATGGGAGAAATTTCATAAGATAGAGGTGAACGAGAATCCTAGTACACATTCCAAATGTGAGGATTATTTCGGCGATGGCAGAAAAGCATTGGTGATGAATTCCAATGGAAATATGACAAAATTATTTGGATACGAGACCTGTTGTACGGAAAACAATAAAACGTTACCAGCAGAATTTAAAAAGTTCTGGATCAATTAAACTACATTGCACTAGCTTATCATGTTAAGGTAACGGTGCATGATGGGAAATTTTCTACATCCCTCAATTGAGTCACATGTTATTTTTCAAACAAGAATCACTCCTTCCCCACATTGTTTATATCTTCCAGTTTTGCACAAAGAGTGCACTTATGTGCCTAGAAAAGACTTGTGAGAAGAATGTTTTGATAAAGTGTATAAAAAACAAGAAAATTCAGTGAAAAATTTCAGAAAATTTTCAGAAATTTTTTCCACTGAATTTTCTCGTTTTTTGTAAATTTTAGAAAACAAATCTTCTCACAGGTCTTCTCTAGGCACATAAGTGCACTTTTTGTGCAAACCTCGAAGATGTAGACAATATGGGGAAGGAGTGATTCTTGTTTGAAAAATAACATGTGACTCAATTGAGGGATGCAGAAAATTTCCCATCATGCACCCTGACCTTAATGAAGAAAGGCTTGGTCATTTAAATGAGAATTTATGACGATCTTTTAGTGTACTGATAAAATCATGCTCATAGTAATTTGAGTAATGGCACATATTTCCTTATTCCCGACATAAGTTCAATAAGTATTGCTAATTTTGCTATAACTTTTGTTCTGTTTGCTTTTCCTTCATGGAACTTTCACAATTCGCTTGGGCGAATACAGCAAAATCAAGTGGGACATTATCTGGGCAATATGCTGCACGGGGCAATGCTTCCATCCCAAGCTTTGGAATTGTATTTTGGACAATAGAGGATCTGTGAGCAGGCCATTATCCTTGTGAAACCTATAGGTCGATATTGCTTGGCAGGACAGCCTTTCTATCAGCCATTTTGTTTCAAGGGGGTATGACATCGTCATGCGATTATCATATACTCCTTGTTGCTCCGATTAATTTTCGGGAATAAAAGAAACCCTAAAGTTGCCCCGCGTACCCGTGACAATGGTTACTATAGTAACCATAACTTTGTCAATACTATGTCGCTTGTCCGGAAATTTAGACAGGATAAGGTCAGATATGTGTTCCTTAGATAGTGCAAGTTTCATGAAGAAAAAAGCAAGATAACAAAAGTTATTACAAAATTAGCAATACTTATTGAACACCCTGTATATACACTAGATTAGCGATTGTTTTTCTTTGTAATATTTGTTCCATCCAAGACCAACATTTATTTATTTTTAAGCATTGTATATTTTGCTCAGAGACAAACTGACAATCCGGTTTTACATATTATTTAGACTGATTGGTGTGGGAGGGGTGCTAGGTTGGAGATATGTTATGTACTCATTTCTGTTTCTTTGGATCTCTGTGGATGATATGTCTACCATATCTGTATTTTTCACAATATGTTTGTAGTTAATGAAAGTAAAATTCTTCTGTAACTTCACATTGCTTTGACATTATATCGTATACACAACCCAATCCCAAAAGAGGTGAGTACTGAGGTGTATACAGATTCATGAATCTTACAATCTTCATAATACATGTATAATGTATAAAGATAATTGGAAAATGTACTTTCACTTTCATTTTGTTGGATAGTGAAGTTTTTATTCTTCCAGTTTTATTCCCTATAATTTTATAAGTACTTGCTAATTATCTATTCCAGGCAAAATTATTTCAATTTGAAAATAACATTGATATAATGTATGTAGTCTATAGGCCAACAGAGTTCTACTTATCCTGCAAGATTAGAATCAAAATAATTTAACATTATATTGGTGTTTATACATTCATAAGCTGTTTTTATTTATTTTCTTACAAATACAAAATCACAATTAAAAGCGTGTTTATTGCCACGTTTTTGTTGCTCACATACAATTTACAATCATCAGTAAATAACAATGATATTTCAATGAACCTATATTGTTTATTTTATTGTATATACTTATGGAACAAACAATCTCCGTAGCAAACCATGGCTTATTCGTTATTAAAACATTTAAAGTTAGCCTTGTCTGTAATATTATCGACAAGGCCGTATCATTGTTTGTATATACATAATAGCCTTAGTGGCATCACCTTGGCTGCTCAGGTAGAAATTAACGTCTAAACTTATTTTGCCCTGGCTATATATCCGTTCTTTTTCTGGACACAATGACACTATAGTTAAACCTCGCAGCGTTGTTGAGATCTTCAATTAATGAAATAAATTCCAATAACAGTTTGGAAAGCTCTTTTTAAGCGGTAACCAACTTAAAAGTTTAAAAAGTCGTGTTAAGGTAACGACCCTCAACCACAGGGAGTAATTCAATGGATTATATAACAGTCTTTTTATAGCCTGTATTTTATCTGCCAACCATCTATACATGAACTTGATTACACCATATTCACAATGAGATGATTCAGATGTAAACCATAAATGAAATTGGTATCTACAGTCTTGCCGATATCACTTTAAAACCGTATCATTTTGATAAATGCAGCATTTGACCATTTCTTTTATCTATTATACCTGTTCATACATTTGAAAATTGATACAGATGAGCTGACTGATTTTTCTGAATAGGGTTGTTGCACAATGAATGAGCATTCAAATAGCATGACCACATGATATTATAATATTGAAATGTTAAAACCCATGTGTTTTTGAATTTGCTTATATTTTATTTTTGGATACCGCTCATATTTTTCTCAGTCTGATGTTCTATGTCACATTTTAATGCTCATAGACATCTAAAGAAACCTTTGTTCTTACGATGTTCAGAATTTGATTTCTATGTGTAAACTATCTGACCTAGAATTACACAATTAGAATAAATGTGCTATTTTATGTTTCACTAATTAATAAGAAATTTAAAAAGATTGATTTCTTATGTAAGATCTGTTGCATTTCCATTCGTTGATTCATTGAACATCAATAAAACTACTGCATTAAAAAATCAGATGTATGCTAATAATGTGCAAAAACTCATTATACCAAAATAACAATACCCAAATCCATCTACTAAATGATAAAACATGATCTTACATCAAAACACAATCTTGCAAAGCCCGTCACACAACAATCAAACACCTACAGGGTGAGTCAAGAAGGTAGCCCAAATAAAACTTAATAACTCGGTCATCCTGCATGGGTTAAGTGTCATACTTGGCACAATTAGGCCTTGTCCAATGTATTGTCATTCCACCAAGCTCTATCAATAGGTATATCTCTCGTGTTCACGATTTTTATGGCCATTTTACGAAACATGCCATAAAATATGGACATCGTGTCTGGAGGCCAACTTGAACGTATTTGGCGTAGTTGTTCACAACGAGAGCAATTAACATATTGTGTTATGGCTCTCACCTTCCTTCTTATCTCTCCGATAAAAATCTGTTGGGATTTACGTCCAGTCAGTGAGTTACATTTCGGCATTTCGACCATGTTTTGTAAATGGCCATAACATCGTGACTGTTAGAGACCAATCACACTAAGTAGAATAAAAGAACATTAAACAGGGTTAATTGTACCATGCCCATGCTGAATGACTGAGTTATTAACATTCATTTGTTTGGGTTACCTTTTTTGCTCACCCTGTAGATCAACCATGCGACACAATTGGGTGCATCCTGTGACCGAATGAATATAAAACCATCAGTAGTACACGTATACAAACACAAACAGACCAATATGACACTTAACCAAAACATATTTTTCAAATCAACAACCCAAAGTCACATATCATTAGGTACACACGACCTAGAACACAATCATGGCCAAAAGTTTCAGCCAGGCACAACCTAAATCACCAATCACACAGCACAATGGGACACAACCCACTGTCAAATAACAATGCGCAGTTGGACATAACCCAGCACCAAACCACAGCAAAATAATACCTGGCACAACCCGAAACAAAATCAACAAATAACCAAACACATCCCATTGTCAAATTAACACAACGCAACCAGGGACAAGACAACACAAAACGAACAAATGAATGAATGAAATGAAATAATATTAATTATTTTAAGTGCATGATTGATGGTAAAATAAAGATATTTAATTGACAAAATTCATAATTATTCTAAGATACAGAATGATTAAATAAGTCATCCGATTTGAAATTCCCAAAACACAGAATATAGCTAGATAGATTTCACATTGCATACCGCAATATAATACAAACTTATATGTACAAACTTTTTTTACTCTATTCATCTTGCAACCACCAGAGCAGAAATTTCCAGTTTAGTGATTTGCACTTACAAATCTAGAATCGCTGAACCTGAGATAGCACTCAGAACCTAAATTTAGAAAACGTGTTTTGCAATGATACAAATTTATTGCTAGGGAAAACACCCTCGTTTTGTCAGCGTTTTTGGCTAGGATACATATCCTAGATGTAATGTTAGATAAAGTTACTAATAATACATACACAGATGTCCATGTTAGATATAGTTACTAATAATAAGTGTACAGAAGTCTATGTTAAATATACAGTGCATTAGGTCAAACGTGTGAGTTAACTTGCACATTTTACAAAAAACGTTAAATCAACATTTGTGCATTACTATATTATAGGTACAATATGCAGTGTACATAACATAATAGAATGCATTTATTGAAATAAAACTGGATTTTGTTAAATGAAAATAATTTGATATCGACGTAAGAACATTTGTGAATTGAACTTTCTAAATGCGTATTACATTTCATAAAATAAATTTTCCCACAATGCAACTGAATCAAAATTCTACAATTTAATTACGCAAGCAAAGTTACAGCAAGGGCGAACGTAATACCCGGATCGTTCGCAAATTGACGTTCGGTTTTTTACCGCATCCGATTTGAATTAGCCAATAAATGATCGGGGTGTGATACTGATAACTTGAAATTTTTTCTGACGATGTGTCTTACCCCCCTTTGGACATAAAGTCCAGAGCTGAATATGTCAGCACATGTTGATGATTGGTAAGTAAAAACAATCTATCCTTATAACATAACCTATTTTCGATAGTCTAGTGAATAACGGTCACCAACCGTTCGGATAGGCCTACAACAGTTAAAACGAAGATTGTCCGCATCCGTTTTGATTGCGCTGACGAGAAACCAACGGGGTCTTCTCATTTGCATAATCAGGTCACCTTATACTGCGCTATAGAGCTGGTTAAGGGGGGTAAGACTGACTGACAGAAAACACAATCGCCACTTCAAGTACATTTTCCTGTTTATTCTGTTAGTGTTAACCCTTATTTACATATCATATATTTAAGTTAATCAATTATGTAGCTAATGATGTGAACGGATTGCAATGCCATAGAGTAAAATAACCGCAAAACGGTACAGAAAAAGGTACCTAGGTCTGAGAAATCCTACCCCTTTATACACCATTGTCTAATGAAGACCAAACAAAGCCCCGGATGTCGTGTCGTTTCTCGTTTCGTTTGGTACACAACTATGCCCCGGGTATTAAATAAGCCCTTGGTTACAGGTCATCACACCTAACAATGGTACGTCATAATCCTAGTGTGATTGTTTCCGAGATCTACACCTTTAACAAAATTAGCATAATAC